ATTTTGATGTTGACCAAAAATCTTGAAGTTTGACTGTATGTTGACCATAGTTGACTTTTTACCCAATAAGTTGATTTTCAGTCATCTGAGCCATTGATTGAGCAAACATGTGATGCAAGACTTGAAACTTAATATGAGCATTGTTGAATACCTACAGAGAACCATGAAAACCACTTGAGCCCTTTGAAACCCAATCTTCCTGAGAAACACAAAATCCTAGTTGTGGACCCTTTGTTTAGGAGGAGAATTTGTCAGATCAATTCTTAGGCAACCTTGAGCATTTGAGGACCTTATGAGAATGCCTTGAAGGAGAATGGGAGGGAAAATTTTGTGATACAACACTAGGGTATGGTGTATAATTTCCCTGTAACAACCTTGAATCCTGATCTCTTCAATAAGTTCATATCCTTCAATTACCAGCCCTTTAGATTATCTTCCCCTAAGTCCTTAGTGGGAAAACCTTTAACCATCCATCCTAAATCCTAAGTCCTTAGAGATATCTGATGGAGTCAAGCCTTTATTTTATCAAGAGTGATCTGGTAACTGTAGAATATCCCTAATCCTAGGTGATATCTACTATAGCCTAATCATACAAAAACCTTAACAACCGCGGTCCAGCTGGTTGTTAACCGTAGATCAATCCTAATTGATCCGATCAGGAAAGCATGAAAACATTGTACGATTAAATTGAATAAGAAAACAACTTTATTAAAGAAATCCAAAATTTATAATCATTACAAATTCAAATCAGGGACACCCCATAGCATTTGGGGTTTAGCTACTCATATTGTTCAAAATAATCACAAGACAAAATATAGACATTACAAGAATTGGGATGAACTTTGATCTTCAATTGCTTCCGCACATGAAAATCTCCCGCTCTCCAAAAACTTTGACTTCTTCAATCTTCAGTCGTGTAAACTATTATTCGCTGCAAAAAAGTCTCCTTATCCCTTGTGAAAACTCATTTAAATAGTCACCATTCATCCAGGTCGGTTGGAAGTACCCAAAACACCCTCACAACTTAACATATAGAAAAATCATGAAAAAAAACCAGGAAATCAGTGTCACAGGCCAACACGGCCCGTGTCAGGCAACACGACCACCCGTGTTGGCCTCCAAACTCCCAAATCTTCTTTTAAGGTCCCGGGGGTTTCAACACGGCTCGTGTCAGGAAACATGTATGCCCATGTTGCACCCCTGACTTCCATCTTTCTTCATTCGCACATCCTGGCGCTGCCTGTGTTAGGCGACACGGGTAGCCGTGTTAGGCCTCCTGTAGGTGGATTTTTTACTTTCTCCGAAACTTCGAATTTTCTCACTTTTTTACCCTGAATTGTCCTATTTTATTCCTCTGACCCTGAAACACTAAAACACACAACCAAAACATAAAATGCGATAAAATGAAATAAAACACTGGGCAATAAAAGAAAAGATAACTGCAATTAACAATAAATAATTGTGTAAATACCACTGATCAGATGTGTGTGGTCCATAATATTCTCAAACTACTATATAAGAAACTCATGCTTCTCCCTCATGTTATCTCATGTCTAAATACTAAAACAAAAAATAAATATCATTTGGCATGTTGGAAAGGTTCGCTTCGTTAACGGGGATTTACCATCAAGGAAATTCAAGACCAACATGTACAAACCACTTGAAGATCTTCATTACACAATACAGGGATTTTTACCATGTGGCGACAATCAGAAAATTTTGAAGATTGAGTACCGCTCTCCATCCATTAACAACGACGAAAAACTTGAGTTCATCAACAAAGAGATACAGACAAACACTGATTTACGAGTTATGTGAAAAACCTTTTTCGGTTATGACGAAAAGGTTCAAATCGAGTTTGATGTGATGATTACAAGAACGGTCGATGAAATTTTGAAGTTGTTGTAACGTCCACCCGAATGTTGAAGTGTAATGTCGCATATATGTTTAAATCCCATATGTATTGCTACTTTATGTAATTTCACTTTTTGTTTGAGAATCTTGATGTAATGTGTAAGTGTTGTTTTCCTGCATTCTGTAATGAATAATACCGGAAATACACATTCAATTATAAATCGAAAATGCATTTTCGATTTTGGTTCTTTTTAACTAGATGTTGGTGCGTTCCATAAATGCATTTCTAGTTCCTAGAAGTATTTTTAGAAATTCACGCTAGTGCCTAAAAAACATATAGGATACATTAAGAAATTATTAAAGAAAATATCTAGGGAGATGAAAAACCCATTTTGACGTTGAAGGAATACGCCCATAATAAGAATTAGGGATCAGTCGTAATAAAATTACGACGATAATCAGGATTACACTATAGTCATAATCCTTGCTGTCTGGCACAAAAATCAATCTCTTGCCAAGTAAAAATTATGTCTGTAATAATTATTACACACTCGTCATGACTCTTGATGTCTGACACAAAAACTTATCGTTTGCTGAGTGAAACTTATAGCTATTATATGCATTGTCTTGAGCTATTTTCTTCAATTTTTCTGATCTTTCTTCTATGCTTTGATTTTAGTTCCGATGTCTTTACATATGACTTGGATTCATCTAGCAACCACTGTTTTCCTGAAATACCAAACAAACAGTGTAGAAAAAGTAGATAAAATCGCAAGAAACAAACATCAAAATTAATATAAGTTAAGACTAAAAACAAACTTATCAAACTCCCACATACTTAAATCATTACTTGTCCTCAAACAATCTAACTAACATCGAAAGAGTTAGAACAAAGCAAGTTTTTTTAAGGAAACTTCAAGAAATGCACACATGGGTACTCGGTCAAAATGCATAGTCTATTTAGCTTAAGTTCATATCAATTGATACTTGTTCAGACTAAAGATCCTTTCCTTATAAGAATGCTTACTAGAGTCTTTCTTGAAGATAAAAACCTCGGCATAGTCTTCACTAAAAATCTTAGTACATATTGTATTTCTTTTAAGAACAACTTTGATCAATTTAAGATATTTTGCACACTTCTACTTAATTTTTAATTCATGTGATTTGAGGTTTCAATTGAGAATTATTTTTCTTTTAGGGATCGTATAACTTTTGAAAAATTCAATTTGGTGAGAGTTATCCAACTTAACTAAAATTAAACGTCCTTTATTCACAATTTTTTTCTCTGCATTGAAGATCAACTCATCTTCGGTCTGAGTAACGGGATGAGGATGTATAATTAAGTAACTAGCTCATAGTTAAGTCAAATAGTTGTCATAGGTTAAGATATTCATCTTCAGTTTCAAGAATTGCACCAAAACTTACAGTGCCAACCTTATAGAAGTGATTCATCTTTGAACATCACTTGTCACAATTTTTCTGAACATTATATTCTCTCACTCAGGTATTTTCTCGAACACCTTGTATGCAACAGAGAATGAAACAGATAGCTTATACCATGTCAAATTTCTTCTAGATGAAAATGGAGACAAAACCATTCCTAACGAGAAGAGGTTCTGTCGTCACATGGTGGGAAGAAGGAAAGCAGTATAGCAACATTATCATGAAAAATTATACTCCGAGCCTCAAGATTCCATGACTAGGGTTGGAAAAGATTCAATACAGAGTGATCATAATATGATTGTGAGAATAATGTTGATCCAATGGTTGAAAACATTGCTCCTTTATGCCTAAATCTTCGTAAGTTTGCAAAAACTGCACTTTATGAATTACTACTTTACATAAATTTATTTAAATATGAAGTACTTTGCTTCCAAATCATGGCTGGTCTGAATGTGCATTTAGAAAACTTGAATCATAAGCTACACATACGAGCTTCTCAAAATCACACTGAAAATGATCTTAAACGTGCGACAATGGTGGCCCACCGGATTACTAAAAATAGGCTGAATTAACTTTACATAATCATTTAAGAGAAGTGATATTTTGACAATTAAATTTGGATGTCAAGTGTAATTTTTAGGTGTAGTAGTATATTATTGAAATTCGTGTAAGTGTATGAAATGAAAAGTAGGAGAGAGATAAAGACATTGATATAAAATTCATATACAATATCAAATATTAGATATTCAAATAACATTCCTCTTCCTTCAACTCAATTATAGGAGACTTGTTAATTTAAATAAAGGGTCAATGCTCACATGTCAACATGTTATTATGTGTGATACTTGTCAAAGTCTTTGTTTCTTTTATTTATTTCTTAATTGTAAAAATCCAGTTTGAGATTGAAGAAGTTGAAGCACCCTTCAAAACAGTACCAAGCTTGTGCTGAAGTTCACAAAACAAGGTTATTATAACACAATTTTTTTTTTGTTATCATGATGTTTCTAAGTTACCATGTTCAAAGTTGCAAATTAGCTTTTTGTTTGGTTGGCTTTTGCAAAATTTTCTATTTTGAATGATTCTTTCCTTTTTGATCTGCAATTAAAGTAGTAATATACTTCTAGTTTGTTTACAATTATTTGATTCATACGGGCTCTTTGTTATAGATTAAAATAAAAGTTATTTTGATATAAATAATTTGGAGATTATTCCATAGCGGCTTTTAAGAAAAGCATAAACTATAGTCAAGAAACACAAAGTTTGAATTTATCATTGTTAAAATAATATTTCATTAAATTTGATTAAGAAACACTTTTTTTACCCGTTGTTGAAAATGCATAAACACCATAAATTATATTTTTCTTTCTTTTCTGTTCAAAATGATTTTGTAGCAAAGTTAATCAAAATATTTTTTCATTTGAAGTATTCAAATAATTTTTTAACAAAAAAGGTTTTTGAGAAATACTCATAGTGTGGTATTTTGAGATGGAGAGAGTAACTAAGTAAAGACTTAGATAAAGGTATTCAATTCAATTTTTATGTATAATGAGGTATTTATCTTGCCCGGACGGAGTATTTCAAATTGAAACTGATTTTACTGCAACTTGAATCATTCTAATTTCTAAGTTAAAAAAGTTCACTGTCCTGATGTTTGTCTCTCATTTGGTCAGGTTAAAGAATAAGGAAGAAGCTACACTAAACTAATGGACTACCTTTTTGGATTTGCGTCTTCCCTTTCAAGAGATTTGGTGTGCGGTTTAATAGGTGAATTAAGTTATCCCTGCTGCTTCAACAATTTTGTTCAAGATGTCGTAAAAGAAGAAGGTAATTTGACTGTAACAAGAGATAGTGTCCAAGAACGTGTTACACGAGCCAAGAAGCAAACTAGAAAGACCGCTGAGATTGTTGAGAAGTGGTTGAAGGATGCTAACATTGTCATAGGCAATGTTGATCAGTTACTACAAATGGCAAAAACAGAAAATAACTATTGTCTTGGGCACTGTCCAAATTGGATTTGGCGATACCGTGTAGGCAGAAAGTTATCAAAGAAAAAAAGGGACCTTAAATTGTGCATTGAAGAAGGTAGACGATATATACAGATGGAATGGCCTGCTTCACTTCCAGCAGGCTTTTTTTCTTCTGAAAAATGCTTGGATTTTGATAGTAGAAAACCTGCTTATGAAGAACTTACACGTGCTTTTGGAGATGATGAGGTTACTATGATTGGATTGTATGGGATGGGGGGTTGTGGAAAAACAATGCTTGCAATGGAAGTAGGCAAGAGATGCGGCCATCTTTTTGATCAAGTGCTTTTTGTGCCTGTATCTAGTACTGTGGAAGTGGAAAGGATCCAAGAAAAAATTGCAGGCTCTCTTGAATTTGAATTCCAAGAAAAAGACGAAATGGACCGATCACAACGGTTATGCATGAGGTTAACACAGGAAGATAGGGTTCTTGTGATTCTGGATGATGTGTGGCAAATGTTAGATTTTGATGCCATTGGGATTCCTTGTAGTGAACATCATAAAGGTTGCAAGGTTCTCATTACCAGTAGATCTGAAGCAGTTTGTACTTTGATGGATTGCCAGAAAAAAGTTCATCTATCAACACTAACCAACGATGAAACGTGGGATCTTTTCCAAAAGCAAGCATTCATATCTGAAGGAACATGGAATACTCTAAAGAATTTGGCTAAAGAAATTTCAAATGAATGTAAAGGTTTGCCTGTTGCCACTGTAGCTGTCGCTAGCAGCTTGAAAGGCAAGGCTGTGGTGGAATGGAAGGTTGCATTGGATAGATTGAGAAGTTCGAAGCCTGTTAATATTGAAAAAGGTTTGCAAAACCCGTACAAGTGCTTGCAGTTAAGCTATGATAATTTGGACACTGAAGAGGCCAAGTCACTTTTCTTGTTGTGTTCTGTGTTTCCTGAAGATTGTGAAATTCCCGTGGAGTTTTTGACTAGGTCTGCAATAGGGCTAGGCATAGTTGGAGAAGTTCGCTCATATGAAGGGGCTAGGGATGAAGTGACTGCGGCTAAAAATAAGCTCATAAGTTCTTGTTTGTTGCTAAATGTTGATGAAGGAAAATGTGTTAAAATGCACGACTTAGTTCGTAATGTAGCCCATTGGATTGCAGAGAATAAGATTAAGTGTGCCTCAGAAAAGGATATTATGACTTTGGAACATACTCCATTAAGATATCTATGGTGTGAGAAATTTCCAATTAATTTGGATTGTTCCAATCTCGACTTTCTACACATTCACACAGATACACAAGTATCAGATGAATTTTTCAAAGGAATGAGAATGCTCAGAGTTTTGTTTCTTTACAACAAGGGTCGGGAGAGAAGGCCATTGTTGACTATATCATTAAAATCGTTGACAAATCTTCGTTGCATACTTTTGAGTAAATGGGATTTAGTTGACATCTCATTTGTGGTAGAATTGAAGAAACTTGAAAGTCTTACATTGTGTGATTGTTCATTCTTTGAAATACCTGATGTGGTTACACAATTGACATACTTGAAATTGTTGGATTTGTCAGAATGTGACATGAAAATGAATCCGTTTGAAGTGATTGGGAGACACACACAGCTGGAAGAACTGTACTTTGCTGACCGTAGATCAAAATGGGACGTCGAATTCTTAAAAAATTTTAGGGTCCGCCAAGTGTTACAGAGGTATCGGATACAATTAGGAAGCATGTTTGCCGGTTTCCAAGAAGAGTTTCTCAATCATCACAGAACTTTGTTTCTCAGTTATTTGGATGCTTCTAATGGAACGATCAAGGATTTGGCAGAAAAGGCAGAGGTCTTGTGTATAGCAGGTATCGAGGGAGGTGATAAAAATATTATCCCTGACATATTTCAAAATATGAACCATTTAACTGAGCTTTTGATACGCGATTCTAAGGGGATAGAGTGTTTGGTTGACACTTGTCTGACAGAGGTAGGAACTCTCTTCTGCAAGTTGCATTGGCTAAGAATTGAGCACATGGAGCATTTGAGAGCTTTATACAATGGTCGAATGCCTCTTGGTGGACATTTTGGGAATTTAGAAGACCTATATATAAGTCATTGTCCAAAGCTAACATGTCTCTTCACACTTGCAGTTGCTCAAAATCTGGCAAAGCTGGAGAAATTACAAGTATTATCTTGCCCTGCACTTAAGCATATACTAATCGATGATGATAAAGAGGAAATAGTTAGTGCTTACGATCACAGGCTACTGTTGTTTCCAAAATTGAAAAGGCTTCATGTTAGAGAGTGTGATGTGCTGGAATACATAATCCCAATCACTTTCACTCAAGGCCTTGTACAGTTGGAGTGTTTGGAAATTGTGTGTAATATTAAGTTGAAATGTGTATTTGGCCTAAGCTCACACCAAGATGGTCAGAATCAAAATGAACTCAAGATCATCGAGCTTTCGGCATTGGAAGAGCTTACTCTTGTTATGTTGCCAAATATTAATAGCATTTGTCCAGAAGATTGTTATCTAATGTGGCCATCCTTGCTTCAATTCAACTTGCAAAACTGTGGAGAGTTTTTCATGGTGTCTATCAATACTTGCATGGCTTTACACAATGATCCGATAATCAAAGAAGCTTCCAATCAAACTGTGCAAACTATAAAAGAAGTTCGAGTCAATAACTGTGAGTTAGAAGGTATCTTTCAGCTCGTAGGATTATCCGTTGATGGAGAAAAAGATCCACCGACATCATGCTTGGAAATGTTGTATTTGGATAATCTACCTCAGCTCAGGTATGTATGTAAGAGTGATGTAGAATCAACAAACCTCCAATTCCAAAAGCTTCAACAAGTGGAGATATGTGGATGTAGAAGATTAAAATGTATCTTCTCATCCTGTATTGCAGGAGGGCTTCCTCAATTGAAAGCACTAAAGATAGAAAAGTGCAATCAGCTAGATCGAATCGTTGATGATATTGGCACCTCAACTCCCTTAGGTACACAAACATCCACTTACTCTCTGTAATTCTTTTGTTAAGTTGATGCTATTCAATGAAGTATCAATGGTTTCAAAATTTTTGGATAAGAAAGAAATGACATATATGCTTAAATAATCGAAGTAATACTCCTTATTCCAATAGTTTCAAAAATTTGCTTGACGAACATATATATATATATATATATATATATATATATATATATATATATATATATATATATATATATATATATATATATATATATATATATATATATATATATATATATATATATATATATATATATATATATATATATATATATATATATATATATATATATATATATATATATATATATATATATATATTATAGATCATCTCTAATATACAAGGACGTGATGTTGCACCTATGCAACTACTTTTCAGGATTATTTGGTCTCCCCAGCCTTGTAAGGTTAACACTAATATCATGTCCCATGCTGGGTTCGTTGTTCACAGCATCCACTGCCAAAACCTTGACTTCATTGGAAGAATTGACAATACAAGATTGCCATGGTTTAAAGGAACTGGTAACATATGGAAGGGCTCAAAAAAATAGAAGGGGAGAAATAGTTGAGGATCATCATCACGACTTTCAGAGTTATACGTCAATGTTCGAAAGTTTGAAAAAGATTAGTATTATGAGATGTCATTTGCTGAAATGTATATTGCCGGTTACATTTGCAAGAGGACTGGTGAAATTGGAAGATATAGAAATCACAGATACTCCTGAGTTGAGATATGTATTTGGTCATTCTTCTCCTCAGTATCCAAACGGGTTCCAAATTGAGCTTCCTGTTTTGGAAAAAGTTGTACTCTCCAACATACCAAATATGACTGCAATTTGTCCAGAAAACTACCATGCAACATGCTCGTCTTTGCAACTTCTTGTCATGAACGATGTTGGCCTATCAATCAATAATTTGATAGTTGATTCAGATCTTAGTTCTAAAACAGTACAACTCTCTTTCTCCTTCTCATTGTCTTTCTTATTACATACATTTGTTTCTTTGAATGCATCAAACACAAAATAGAATCGATATATTCTGTTTATATGTTCCAACATGTCTACCAAAATTTGATAATATTCCTATTAGACCTAATGGTTAGTATGCTTTTACAGGATGAAGGAGAAACAATCATGAGTACTGAGAAGAAGTTAATATCTGTTACTATAGAGAACGGATCTGAAATTGAAGGCATTTTTCAAATGAAGGGATTCCCAAGTGAGAATGGACAACAAGTGATGACCTGGATAGAAGACCTTAAATTGGTCAATTTGCCAGAGCTAATGTACATATGGGAAGGTGCCAAACATTTTGTGAGCCTTCAACATCTTCACAAAATACACATTTGTAATTGTCCCAAACTAAAGTCTATCTTCTCCATTTCTGTTTTGAGAGTCCTACCTCTGTTGAAGATCCTAGTGGTAGAACAGTGCGAGGAATTGGAGCAAATCATTGAAGATGAAGAAGAAAATGAAAATGTCCCAAATCCTCAAGTGTGCTTCCCACAGCTAAAGTTTCTTCTTGTCACACACTGCAACAAATTGAAGCATTTGTTCTATATCCCCACATCCCATGAGTTTCCAGAATTGGAACATGTAATGTTAATGCAACTGCCAAACCTCAATAATATATGTCAAGGGATTGTTGAGTTTCAGACTCTGACCAATCTTTTGGTGCACAATTGCCCGAAATTCTCACTAACTTCGACGACTACTATTGAGGACATGCTACAAACCTATGATTATGGTACACTTCTATATCATACTCCATCTTCAATTTATCTATCGTGTTTGGAATATTGACGTGTCATAAATTATTCGCAACTTTATAATATCAAGACGGTCTTGGTTAATTTCTTCAAGTTAAATGATATTGATGGGTATTTTAGATTGTTACCCTTTCATATGTCTTGTAATTCTGTTTTGTTGGGTTATTTTATTTAGTTCATTTTTTTTTTTGCTTGTCTTCTCAAAGTTTATAACTCAGTACAATCTGTTATTTTAGACAACGAAATCGGTTTCTATCTCTGTCCATACTTACACGACATAGGTTCTACAAATGGTCATGAGTTCCTTACATCAAAGAACAAAAACAAAGAGATACAAGATTTACAATCACAGGAGCAGAATCTGTCACCCATTTATTTACCAAACTCGACAGAGGTACGGTCTTTTTTTTAATTTTTCCCTCTTTTACGAGACATGATTGAATTTGTTTGTTATAGAAGTTAACCTAATTAACAAATTCAAAACAGGTTGAAAGGCCATTTGCTAGTCATTTTAATATTTACCATGATATTTTCATACCATACACCTACAACTTTTTCTTTTCCCTTTTTACCACACAATGAAGTTGTGGAGGTATAGGAATAAAAATAACTTGTAAATGCAACATTTTTCTTCGATATTCATCTGCTATAATCCTTTTCTCAGTGTTGCAGGAAACATATGTTTTCATATTATTGTTTATAAATTTGTTAATTACTGTGTAGGAGTTGTTTAAAGGACAAACAATGGATGAACCATGTTTGATGAGGCAACAAAAGGCACTTGGAGAATCTGTAAGTACCGTTGAAAGTCCTCAAACAATGTAATACATACCAGCTTGAACATATATACTGTACATTTGTTAAGGTAAAACAATAATCTTTTATCAACAGAAAGGTAATAACACCAGCAAAAGAAAAACTTTGAAGCTCCTAGAAAAGATAATCTTTAAGCCAATAGTAGATATATAAGTATAATCAAATTTTAAACGAACACCAGAAGTAAAGTTAAATTTCTGTTAATTAGATAAGCAAAACCCTTAATAATAATAACACAAGCTATCCTAAATTAATAAGCTTATCCATGTTACATCAATAGCATTACAGTACATCTTAGATTCTTAGTAATAGGGGTTCTAAGAATTCAAGAGGGTTCTATATTTGAGAAAACTGTAACAGAAACTATCTTCAAAAAGGAGAAACTCATCCTCAGGACCAACATTCCTTTTAAAATGGAATCTCACTGATATGCATACTTTAAATATGGAAAGGTAAGTATACTGCAAAGTTACAACTTATAAAACTTTTGCTCTTGTGCAGAGGGTTATTGAAAAGGGAATAGAATTAGAGAGTGCGGAGATATTAGCTTTGTCAATTCATTCTGAATCTGATAGCTCGCATTCAAGCCCACTAGCTACCTCTCAATGTAGCCCTCATCCTCTAGTAAGTTTCTTTCGTCTATGCAAATGGCTTCTCCAACAAATTAGTGCTTCCTCGTTTCTGATTTATTATTCACAACAGAAATGTAATGAAGAAACTGAAGTACTATAACTTTCACGTACTTGTTACTATCACAGTGATTACATTCATACTGATGTGGCTAACTGATAATGCCTTTTATATTTTTATTCTTCCCAGTATGAAATTGGCTTCACTCGAACTGAGACTTACATTAATGAAGAAAACAAAGGCCATCCTATAAACCTAGGAGGAGACTTGGAGGCCAATGATCTCAATCCCGTGGAAGAGGATGATAAAGGCCAAATAACCGCACCCCGTGTTTCTGAAGTGACTACTGATAACTTGGTTACACAGACTCTTTCTGACCTGGAAGAGTGTTTAAGCATATCTCTGAAAGACATAGCTAGCTCAGAGACTAACAGCCTTCGCCTTCTAACCGCTCTCAACTTCTTGTCCCACCTTTCTTTAAAAGATGTAGCACTATCAGACGAACTCCGAGCTATAATAGACACAATGCACACAGAATTCCCAACCATCCTATGCTCCTTCAAGCAAGCCTTTATTACCATAGACAAATTTGCTGTGATTGAAGCTCATCACGACAAGGCAGCAATTACTCTTTCTTCCAAAATTTCCAAAGCAAAAAGTTTTTTGGATGAAGCTCAACAGAGGGAAGCAGCTTTAAAGGAAAAGATCATTCAATTGGAGAAAGAAATAAAATATCTTCAAGAGGAAAAGGACAAATGCAATCAAGAAACTCTAGGCTACAAAATGGAGTTGGAGAATGTGAAGAAAGACAAGTATCAACATGTGCAAGATCAAATAAAAGCTCGGCAACAAATATTTGAGGTTGATTATAAATGGTCTGCTCTACTTAGTCAGTTTCGGTACAAGCACAGTGTTGCAAGAAATTTTTCATGAGGATTTATTTATTTATTGCTTTTTAAATGACCATTGTTAAGTTTTGTAGGCTAAATGAATGTAATTTGTTTCAATAAATTGAAGATATTCAATATCCTAAAGTAATTGATACACTCTAGGATAAGGTAGGGATTTACACCATTGATTATCGCTGTTCTTTTTAGGCCATAAAATATGTTTGCATTGGAATTAGTCAATTTTATTTAAAAAATAATTTAAAAATTGTTGATTTATAAATATCAACTTGTCATAAATATAAATAAATGCTCTAGGTAGGATTGAATCCAGAAGTGTTCTGGACTGGGCCGGGTTGACCCAAAAGCAATGATGAAGACCCAATCCAAACGGACTTGCAAGGGGTCACGCCGACCAAGGGGCCACGGCCGTGCCCGACACTCTCCACTAGTGCGACATCCTCGACTTCATGCTATCCAGCTCGACCTCAACTCGAGCACCCCTCCTAGGGCAGACTCTGTCCACTGCACCACCACCTGGATCCCGAAAAGACCGCGTCCTCGTCCGTCCGCACTTCACGCAGAACATCCAGGAAGGAGACCACGTACGGGTCTCCACTACACACGTAGAACCTAGCAGTTCCTTCATTGGGCCAAACCTGCCCGGCCCAATGAAGGGACCTTGGCACAGCGCTGGGGGCTATAAATACCCTCTGTTCCCAGAGGGTCAGGTATTCATTCTATTACCCATACTCACACTTTTGCCTGCTCGTACTCTCACTTACTTCAGCATCGGAGTGCCTTGCAGGTAACCCCCCCCCCCCCCCCCCCATCTCGTCCAAAACTTCAGCTCGGAGCCAGTCGTGACGGTCCAAGTCTGATCAGGTGAGATCAGTGGCGCCGTCTGTGGGAAACTAGCTTCCCCGTCTTGCAAAACTCAAAGACCAAAGCTCGACTCAACTACCACTGTCATGGCTGACCAAGCTCGCGATGAACAACACGTCCGCGTCGTCGACACCAACAACGGCCCCGCGGACAAAAATGGATACCTTGACAACGCCGGAGACCCCGGCCACAATACCATCCCTGCGTCAACTGCACCTGGACCTTCATTCCACCGTGACGGAGCTACCACGTCATCTTCCTCGGTCCCTCCGCCACTTGAGGATGACGATGCCGCTCTCGCGTACTACCGGGCTGCCCAGTTTCAGGAAGTCCCCGTCCCCGCTGGGGCGGATGCCACAACTCGAGCGCTGTTCGCAGCGATCAATCAAACAAATTACCTCATCTTCGCCCAAGGGGAAAGATTGAGGGCACTTGAAGACGATCGAAGACCCCCGAGGAGGCATCGGAGGCCCCAGACCCCACCTCCTCGAGTGACTGAAGTCCATCTGCCGTCTCTCCCGCGGAGACATTACAGAAATACCTCTCGAAGCCCGTCACCCCGCCCATCGGGGAAACGGCCCGCTTTGGAGAGGCCACCCATCGTCGAAGCCGGAGGACGTGGCCACGACCCGGCGAGACAAGAAAGAAGACACTCCGGAGACGGGCGTGTCAGAATCTACCAACGGGCACCACGCTCGAGAGATGCCCCGCACGACCAGGACCGTCGTGCCCGACAATACTACAGGTCCCCATCTCTGTCTCCGGAGAGGAGCGACGAGGACGACCCCCGCGGTCCCCTGTCGCAAGCTATCATGGAAGCACCCATCCCCCCGGGCATGGAGAAACCCCCGCACTTGAAGGAGTACGATGGAGTCGCGGACCCGGTCGACCACATAGACGGGTTCGAGGCTATGCTGCATTATCACAATGTCGGGGGGCCCATCAAATGCCAACTATTCCCCACGACTCTCAGGAAGGCGGCAATGGACTGGTACAAAGGACTCGCCCCGGGCTCAATCACCTCGTGGCGAAACCTGAAAAACCAGTTCATCAGTTCGTTTACAGCATCTCGGCGGCACCCAAAGACCGAGGAGGCTCTCGAGGCCATCATCCAGAGACAGGATGAAACCTTGAGGGAGTTCATCAATCGCTTCAACCGGGAAGCTATACAGGTCCCATGCGCGGACCATATGAAGAGGTATCTGCTGGAGAGGGGGCTCCTCCCCGACACGGAATTCAGAAAGGTCGTGGGCATCGAGCCACCCAGGACATTCGACGCCCTCCTCGAAAAGGCCCGGGCATACATGGACTAAGAGGAGAGAGAAGCGGCCAACAGAGCCCGAGACCCCAGGACTCGCGGGTCCAACAGCAACTCGCGCCAGGAAGCTCCTCCTCCTCGACGAACCGGGGAGAAAAGAAAAGAAGACAGACCCCGGGAAGCCCGAGAACAAAGGGGACCCTCGGGGCGTTTCACCAAGTACACTCCGCTCACAGCTTCCCGCGAGCGTATTCTGGCGGAGTGTGCCAGCACTGACTTCAAGGACGGCGGTGTCAAACGTCCCCGACCTGCTCCTGCCAAGCCCGGAGCAGACAAAAACAAATATTGTCAGTACCTAGGAGCCATGGTCATCTGACTGAGGATTGCGTCCATCTCAAGGACGCCATCGAAACCCTCATCAAGGGAGGGAGGCTCGCACAATACCGGCGAAGCGACGCTCCCCGTCGTGACGCCTAGGAGGCAAGGGAGCCGGAGGAAGATGCCCGACCATCTGACGAGTCGGTCCCCATCCAGACCGCCTTCTCCGTGACCAGACCCGAGGACTTCAACGTCCCCGAACACCTGCAGGAGCCGCTCACAACGCACAGCAGGTGGGAATATTTCCCCTCCGCCATGGTCATCAACGGCGGTAGATTCAACGACTTGACCATTAATTCGGCTAAGAGGAAGCTGGATGAGCTGGTCGACGCGGCGCCCCCGCAAACAGTGACGTTTGAAAGGGTGAAGGGCAGGTCAAAACCCATCACCTTCTACCTGGAAGAGCTCCCCGGCGGAGCCCCCAACGCAGATACTCAATGTCACAGTGAATGTTATGACACCGTATATGACTTTCTATGAGACAGTAAATACAAAAACAGTAAAGAACACAGTCAATTGTTTACCCAGTTCAGTGTGAAACAACACCTACTCTGGGGGCTACCAAGCCAAGGAGGAAATCCACACTAAGAGATGTTAATTCAGGAATAAACCAACCAGTTTATCTCCTTCACTTAAGATCTACCCAATGCAACTTCAATCTAAGTTCAACTTAAACCTGAGTTCCTACTCACTCCCCCTCAATCACAGCAGTGATACTTAAACAATTGACTAATGAAATAATGAAGACACTCTTCAGAACATACACTTGATTACTCTTCAGAATATTATTAAAAAAACTATTATCATCTAATAATAAATTCACGTAACATATCATACTATTAAAAGTAAATAAGTATAAAAATATATGTATGCGGTTCGATTTGGTTTGGATCGGTTTTGAAAAATTAATTCAAAATTCGATCCGAACCAATCGGTTTTCATAAAATGACATTCAAACACAATAAATTTCAGTTTTTTGTGATTTTCGGTTTTTTCGATCGATTTTCAATTTTTTATTTGGATTGATTTAGATTTGAACACCCCTAATTCCTATAACTAAAAATTATTTATGTTGCTCTTCATTCCATATATATATTCCATGACTTATTCCCTTCTATTCCTCTAACTAAAAATCATGTATAATCATTCATTTTTTTCGGTTGCTTCTTCCTTCCATATATATTTCATGACTTATCCCCTTCTATTCCTCTAACTAAAAATCATGTATACTCATTCATTTGTAAACTCATTCATTTATTGCTTCTTCATTCCATATATATTCCATGACTTATCCCCTCATATTCTTCTAACTAAAAATCATATATACTCATTTATTTATTTATGTTGTTTCTTCATTCCATATAAAATGTTATATATTTATACAAATTTTACATCCACAATACATCGAAACACATATTATTATAAATTACATTCATGTACAAATTATATATCCATCATATATCAAAACTCAAACTATTAAAAAAAAATTTCCTACTTTCTATTGCGCAAACTAACTTCTTATACAAATAAGTTTAATTAATTAATTCTCAAATAATTCCATAAAAAACTATAAGAGTTAATACAATTCTTACAAAAATTAAATTAATTAATTTTCAAATAATTAGATAAAAAATAATAAGAACTAATTTAGTTCGTATAAAAACGAAAACAATTTTTTTCTTAATAAAAATGATAACATTGTCACTACTTAAATTCCTCACAAAAAAGATCATTGATTTGGTAACGAATTTATTTTATCTTTTAGATACTAATCATTATTTTTATTTTTTATATCTATCTTTTTTTTGTCTATCAATATTTCACAAAAAAACATTATATAATATTTTATTATATAAAAAAATGTGCATAAAATAGTTTTATAAAAAAATTATTAATTTGTTTTAAAATCATAATAACTACGAAAAAACCACATTATAATGTTTAAAATAATGTGGTAAAACAATATTTTGAAATAGAAAAACAAATACTTTAATATTTTTTTAAAATATAATTCTTAATTATAAATGTGGTTATATATCTCAAAATATAACTTTCAAATTTCAATATTAAATCACATTGCGATACTAAAAAAATTATCAAACAATAATTTCAAATTTATTTTATAATTTTCAAATAGACAAACAAATTCTTTGAATTGTTTTTAATATATTATTTTAAATTATAATTGCAGATACATGTTACAAAATTAAACAACAAATTTTCAGTTATAGTTTATAGCTCATTATATATAAATATGTCCTATAATATATCGTTAAATTGTAAATAATTGAAATTGAACATATAAATTAAAATCTAAATTTTATAATATTATTTAAAAACACATCTCATCTCAACCTAGCACATCGTGTGAGTCACAATCTAGTTTTAATTATAATATTGTATAAAATCACATTAAAATATAGAAACAATGTTTCGTCAAAAGATGAATCACAATGCTATATGATTTATTACATTAAAATATCATCACTTAATTTATACATATTACATAAAATATAGCCGAAAGGTCTTAAACATCAAACTTGACTCAAAATAAATTGTTGACACTTTTTTAGAAGTTTTCTTCATCTTTACAATAAGTTAGAGGTGGTTCTGACTCTATTGGTGGATGTAAGTGAAGTGAAAAAAAGTAGTAATTTCCAAAAGAAAATAGTCTAAATTTAAATGAGCCGAGATAATGTTGGGTTGGCCCAATAGGCCCAATAAATTTCTGAATGGGACACCGTTTTCTTCTTCCTTCACCATTTTCGATCATCAGTGATAGATCTCATCTCAATTTCACAGTAACAATGGAAGGTGAATTACCAAGCGTAAAGAAATGGATTGTGTTGTATCCTGTTTATATAAATTCCAAAAAAACTGTAGCTGAAGGGAGACGAATCGGCATCTCCAAATCATGCGAAAACCCTACTTGTGCGGAAATTGGGGATTGTTGCAATTATCTTAAACTTCCTTTTGCGATCGAGGTTTCTTACACTGTTTTTCGTAATTCAATCTGGATTTTAGTTTTAATCGATCACATTTTGTGGAATTGAATGTTGAAAATTGTGTTGATTTGTTGATGATCGCAGATAGACAAGGCTTACCCTCGTGATTTCATGCAAAGGGGACGAGTTAGGGTTTTGCTGAAAAAGGAAGATGGAACTCTCATTAATCCAGCCATTGCTTCCAGTAAGTTACTCAGTAATTATAAGAATGATGTTAATTTATGTAGTTTTATTCATATGTATAAATTTTATATAGTTCTTAGTGCAATAAAATTTCGTTAGTGTTAAGTTTTTTTTTAGAATAGATAGCTATAGTACACCCCGGAACAAGATTCGACACACACTCCCACACTGATAATGTCGAAAACACAGAACATTGCTTCAATATATGTTTAACTTTTTTAGATGTGTATTGATAATACTGATAATACAGTTATTGGGTATTATGTAACTGCTGTTACTTTCTGTAACTGCCACTGCAGGGTTTATCTTCAGTTTAATTACAGTAAAGTATCGTATTCCAGTGTATTGTTGTTCCCTATCTTACATACTATTCAGAATCTATTAATATGTTTGTATTTGTGGAAGAGGATGGAAAGGGTTAACGTCAGTGTTTGCTTTGGATTGTTTACAAGTATTGAATGGAACAAAACCTGATGGAGTGTATTCTATTTCACTCCATCTTATATACCTTTCCCCCAATTTGGTGTTATGAAATGAAATAGGATGAAACCAGCTTGTTATCTTACCATTTGATGCACTTGCCAAACATTGATATTGAAAATTTCAATCTATTCCATCATAAACTGTCTAAACAATGTGGTAATTTTATTCTGTTCAATTTCATCTCATTCTATTCCACCCATCATTATATCCTAACTTAGCCTGGACTCATTTTCCCTCCCTTACACATCTAGATGAAATTCTAATATATCCATTACTTTATTGCACCCTCTAGAGTGTGATATATATGGTGAAACTATATATAGTTTTTTCTCATGTTATTCTGCAGTTACTTGCTTATATGTACAGAGGTAGGCTAGCCAGCGGATATATTATTTAGTCCCTCTCTTCCAGCCCTTCTCCCCCTTTAATGTGCAGAAGGGCAAGCTCTTAGCTCATTGCGTTTGAAATGCAGAAAAAACCTAAAAGCCTAAAGCTTCTGTTGATAATTAATTGTAAGATCTAAAATGGCCATATCAAACTCTAAAGTTATTCTTGATTGTGAAGCTATTCTTTTTTATTTTCCTGATACATATACCACATCTGCACAGAAAATGTGAGACTGTGATAATAAAATATTGGCCCTAAGATAAAGCTATTTTTTTATTTTCCTGATACATATGTTTAAGACCACAGAAATTATTGGATTAGGCAGAGAAAGAAGTAAACCAGAAAAGAGATACAAAATATTTTCAAATTGATACTTGGTTTGATGTGATAATGACATCATTATTTTGATTCCTAGCTTCTCTAAAATACCTAGTTGTAATAATGATATCATAAATGATGATAGTTTACTTTTATAACGTCTTTGTCAAGGTCGAGTCAAGAATCACTGTTCTTTTACTACTATCACATATCAAAAGGATTAGAAAGTTTTTTTCTTGTTATTTTCTTCAAGATGCATAGATTTAATGGAGGTGAGATATACTGGTATCTCGTGTTATAATTTTTTGTTTTGATTTCTTTGCAGGAAAGCAACTAATGTTATCCATTGCTGAGATGGTCCCTAGACATCATGGAAGAACCAAAAAGCAGGAGACCTCATCAGCATCAACTGCAACTGCTGGACCTTCCAACAAATCTGGGAAAGGTGGTAAAAAAAGAAGATAATATGTTTGAAACATTTTCTTCACATTTTGATACAAGAGTCTTTCTGGGTATATTAATCATTACAGTTGGAAATGTTCATCCTAGCTTGATTGAAATTTTACCAAACGTGTTTTTTGGAAATGATCTTGTGCTTAGGATGTAAGTTGTAACATCATGCTTAGAGGACTTCATTTTATAGTCTCTGTTTTTCTGTCTTTTTTCCCGAAGTTGCAACATCATGCAAGTTGTAAAATCATGCTTAGAAGACGTCGTGCTTATTTAATTCATCACCAAGTATAGTGTAGAATAATGCTTTATATTTTGATTTCTTGTCATAACTCGAATTGGGATTATTTAAGTACTCTATAGTACTCATTCTCCAATCTCTGGGTTTGATTTAATGAATATGCATGACCTTGAAATCACATTTGGTGATAGATCTTCGAACCTCAATAATCTGATGAAAATGTTTACTTAAGATTTTATATGAGCTAATTTGTTTTCTTGCAAATTCTCAATATGAGGAATGTATTCCAAAATTAGTCTTTGTTCAATTGACCAATTATCAATTGTGAGCCTCTTCGAACACATATATTCCTAGCCTTGAAATCAAGATGCAATTTGAGACTACCAATTAAAGCTTCATATTTGTTTTGTTGTTCAAACACTTGGTAGATAACTTGTATATGAATTTAATTGGGTATCCTTGAAGAGATATAATGGGCATTCCAATTCCACTATCTTTGCAATGTCACGAGCTATCAAAGTATAGTTTCCTTGATAGTTTCCGAGGAGCTAAACCTACGTAGTCTTGAAGTTTTTATTATCAATTACAAGGTAATTTTCCAAGAAAACTGTTATCACCTTTCATCACTTTCAAGGGAGAATTTAATATGCCATCCCCAAAATTCCTCAAAATTATAAATGGCACCCTCAAATTTTATATTCCACTTTTATCTTTAAATGAGTTGAACACAATTATTGGACAAAATTTTTGGTAGAAGGATTGAAATTTCCGGTACCACCCAAATTTTTAATACACGCGAAATTTCTGGTACAATAAATTTCAGATAGTATATATACAATTTTTGGTATACCATAAATTTCAATTAATTTGAAATTTTCGATAGTATTAAAAACATGATTTTTTGAACAGTTGAGATTTTGTCGACATATTTGGATGGTTCTGATTGCACCGATACATTTGTGTAGTCTAGAATGCATCACGATTTGTATAAATAGGGGCATTTGTTATAGAGAAAATATATCTAAAAAAAATGTCTCTTCCTCAATTTCTGATTAAGGCAAAGGTGTATTACAACAACAACAACACTCTTGTTGAATTCAAACTTCTAGATGGTTATGAATCCTTTGTCACCTTGAAAGAAACGTTGAATAATTTGTTGCTTAATTTCGATAACAGAAGGATGACAAAGGTAGAGTTTCGGGAGGATTGGAATGATACAAGTGGAAGGGTGAAATACAACCTAATCGAGTTGAAGAATGATGAAGATGTGAAGGTCATGTGGAAATTCTTTCGTCGTAGAATAACTAAAGGTCTGATCGAGTTGGATGCGCAGATTCGAAGATCCGTCGACGACATAATGAAGTGTCTGAAACATCCAGAATCTTTTGAAAGTGTCTATCTAGGTTTTCTTGTTTAGTTGTTTTTGGTTTATGTTTGTTGTACTATTTTATGTTTGTTGTATTGTTTTATGTTTGTTGTACTATTCTATGTTTGTTGTATTGTTCTAGGGTTTCACCAAAAAAATTATGCAATAAATAAGATGTTTGTTTGTCATAAAATATACATATTATACAACCAAAAAATAAAATAGATCTACATAGGCCCTCCACGGGCTACGTCAGCTAACTTAGCTAAACCTTTATAGATTTTGCCATATGGGTTTTACCAAACCAATAAGACTGTCATCATAAACTGCAATAAACTGGAGTCGGTTGTCTTGATCTCCTACAGGTGGTGAAAGTGGTGGTGGTGGTGGCTTTGTAGATGGGCTAGCACCAGAAGGCCACGGAACATTAGATGCTACAGTCGGTGGTATGACCCGAGAGTGTGACACTTTGTGAAACCACTCCAAGTATCCATCCTCGCACTGTCCTGGTTGTTGAACCTCGACGGCTGTATCCATGGATGTTACTCTGAAACCATCTATTAATCCCACCAGTTGGAGACTCTGGAACTGGACGAGGGATGTCCTGCATATAACCATAATGACGTAGACACCTCTCAGACAAGTGTCTAGCCACATGGCTCACCTATCTAATATGCCTTGAATATAAAGTAGATACTTTAAATAGACGATGAGGGCGCTGAGATGTATAGGGTGTCCAGACAACATCACCAAGGTCAGAGCGTCAAGCCTCCTCCGATACTCCATCAAACCTCTTAGAATAGCCTGCTTGGTCTTTCATCTCCTCGCACATGGCTCAGGTGACGTGACACGCTGGATCTTCCGCTCACAGATGTGGGGAAGTGCTCGTATTTCTGGTAATTTTTCAAAAACAATTGAATTACCGGAAATTTCAAAGTTTCTGGTATTAATGTGACGCACTGGAAATTTCAAAATTTCCGGTATAAATGATAAATAAAAATATCGAATATTTCAAAATTCCGATACGAAAATACCGGATATTTTGAAATTTCTGGTACAAAGTACCAAATTTTTTAAAAAATACTATAAATTCTCACTTGTTCGCAATATTTGCGGTAGCGCTTTTGAAATCTCTGGTATCGCCCAAAAATTTAAAAAAATTGGTTGTCTACGAGAGTTTGGAATCTGTAGTGAATGATTTAGGTCTGGGTAATTTAGTCTTCTCATATCCTTTAAGGAGTGCCATGTATAATATGAGGGGTGTCAAGTTAATTTCTCCTTTCAAGAAAACACACATTAATGAGAATTCAACTAAGGTCATAGCCTATTTTCCCCTTCTATTATGCAAAATAGGCTTCTAGAAACTGTCTTTAATTCCTTTAGATTCCATGTTCGGTACTTTTAACCCTTCAAAACCTAGTGTTGAAAATCTTATCAAAATTTGCAAATTGCTTCTCCCACCTTAAGTGGGGGAAAATCACTCAATGAAAATTTGAAAATGTTTATATGAATCTGTAAATGTATTTTTGAATGCATCTATTTCATGCCAAATACTTGTGTAAATGAACCACACTTCTATTTTTGCTTGAAAATGGTCAGAGGTGGAGATGCACTTTCGTATTAATCATATGTGCACCCCCGTACATTCTTACCTGAAACACACCCATTTTACCTTAAATTAATTCAGAGATGCATCTTCGTAGCATGTTATGGAGATGAACTTTTGTATTCACCTATACGCACGATATGCATTCCTAACTGAGAGACACTCATTTTGCTTAAATTGATCCGAAGATGCATCTCCGTAGCAGGTTACAGAGATGCACTTTTGTATTCATCCTAGACAATAAATTGACTTTTTTTTTATGAAATACACCGATATAATAGACCATGTATTATAACTATAATATCATAACAAATTTTGTATAAATTAAACCATACACTTAATGCACAAGATAAAAAGGTCATATATGAATGAATCAATCCATATTATAGTCAAAATAACAAAGTAACATATGATAATAATATCAATAATGCCTAGTACAAATACTGCATAATACAAATACTACACTACTGCGTATTGTATGCTGCATAATCTGCTCATCATCACCATCAACATCCTCTGACACTGTCAACTGTTGTGCATACAACCTCTGCAGGAATCGAAATCTAGCATGACACTCGGGTGTCTTCTATCTCCTTTAAAGCATCCTCTGGGCCAACTCTCAAATGTCACCATCATATTCAATGCCTCATCTCTGATAATTTTGTTGGGGTCTAATAGTCTTCCCCTGATTGAAAGATGCAACAGGCATGTGATATCGTTCAGTGTGATGGACATCTCACCACGTGGAAGATTAAAAGATGACGTCTCAAAGAGTCATCAACAAATACTAACAGCATACCATGTTTAATAGTAGAGTAATCAACTTGCATAAGTCTCACAGTCCAAATAGTTGCATCACATCCTGAAACCATTGCTCCTCAGTTGTAGTGAGTTCACAATCTTTCGACCATGATTGATGTATTTTAAAGCATCACGATCCTACAGAAAAACAAATCATCGTCAGAAACTTCAAATATTATAACACATGTGTTTCAAAAAATAAATACGGATGAATTTTACCTCTCCGTCCCACATATTCCTAACAACATATTTTGGATATAGAGGCAGCAACGATAAGTCGTAGGGGCTCCTCCAAATCCCTCAGGAACGCCATCAACCTGGGGTGCCTCAACCTGCGCTGGCAAGGCTTTTAGGGCATCAGAAGGTGACACCGGTCGATTCTAGCGCATCAAATAAACTAGAATTGACAGGTGCCTGCAAAAGTCAGGCTCTTTTCCTACGAACTGATGCATATGTGACACTCTATTGAGCATTAATTTAGTTTAGTTATCAACCATAATGCCTATTAATTAAATCACAAGTATTATCCATATGAAACAAATGAAAATGAAGTCAAACAATGCAGACAAACCAAATACGGAAAAGTATTTTCGGATTTCTGGAAAATCAAATTTTGATCAAATCTGGAAGTGCACTTCTGTATTAACCTGCAACTAAGAAAATATGAAAATGGCAGAAATTCATAGATACCAAATATGCTCAAAACGCATTGCTCGTCTAAACTACCTATCAAACATATTTTTTAACTAAATAACCTATCTAAACTACCTATTACACTTTCTACAAATGCATGTATATAGAAATCATATGTATATAGAAATAAAAAACTTATCAAACGTGAGTTTGATGTTGAGCATTTTGATTGATTGGATGTTGAAAGTAGAAATTTGGAAGTGAGTTGAGAGAGTTTGAGAGTTTGAGAGAGTAAGAGAGAAATGAGGAAGGAGAAGAGTCTAGCGTATTTTTGATTAAAAATCAGTCAGAATTGCATTTCTATATGT